AAAACATGTCTCACTTCCCATATACACATCGTGCGGGTGCACGTTATGCCCTTGGCCTAACGTACATGATTAAACAAGTGGTTGCGCGTAACGATTCTAACGTGCGATGGTACATTTTTGGAGACGATGATACGATTTTTTTTGTGGATAATTTAGTGAAGATGTTGGAAAAATATGATCATAATGAATGGTATTATATAGGGTCTAATTCAGAGAGTTACGTTCAAAATAATTATTTTTCTTTTGATATGGCATTTGGTGGTGGTGGATATGCAATAAGTCGACCTTTGGCTATGGTTTTAGCTAGGGTTTTGGATTCTTGTTTGATGAGATATCCAAGTCTCTATGGAAGTGATGCTAGGATTTTCTCTTGTTTGGCTGAGCTTGGAGTGAGTTTAACACATGAACCTGGTTTTCATCAAGTAAGTAAAACATTTTAATGTTATTTTAAGTATTAGTTGTCATGTTTTACTTTCTAAGAGTTAAATTATACGAATTTTGACAAATATTTTAGAATGTGATTTTTCATCAAATTGATATGAGAAATGTTGCAATTTGTATTAATTTTCGTTCAAGTTTTCGAAAACCAAAATTTTAAGTATAATATTGAGCTAATCTAATCTAATTTAATATTAAAAATGAGTCAAATTAAATTTTAAAAAGTAAATATGACAACTAATTTGAAAAGAAGACAGTATATTACTACTTTCTAACTTTGATTAAATGATACAAATACAAATTCTAGTTACAAATTCAGGAGAATTAAGGAACTTTGATAAATACTTATATGTGTGTTAAAAATTCACTAATGTAAAAATAATTAATTCAAACTCTAATTATAAGATATCTTGAATTTTGTTTTTGTTGATATTTCATTCTTTCTCTGTTTTTTTTCTTGTTCCTTCAGATAATCCATTGTTTGTAAGACTTTTTCTTTGATATAATCAAATCTGTTAAATCTTATTTTATCAACGATATTTTTGGAAATAGTGCGAAATATAGGTGTGAATGGTTCATATATATAACTAATCTCAATTAATTTGAAATTGAGATCCATAATATAGATTAAAGAGAGAAAAAATTATATCATTATATTAAAATAGTAAAATAAAAAGACGAAGAAGTTAATTTAGAGGACAAATAGGTATTCAACCACCAAAAGTTTTGAATTAACATAGTTTAATGGCGATTCAAGCTAATTAGTGTTTTAATGTAAAAAATAAATCAGAATCTAATTTTTTATTTTTGAGTTGCAAAATTCTTTCTTTCTTTTTAATAATTTTTTTTTTGTTTTTTCTATGGTCTTAAGCTAAACATATATATATATATATATATTTTTTTTTTTAATCTTGTGGTCTTAAACATCTCATGTGGAAGTTATATTTAAAAATATGACAAAAAAAAGAAACATTTTTTAATGTTTCGAAACGAATTAAAAAAGAGATAAACAAAATTAAAAGATACTCCTAATATAGTATATTGTTTTGTTAAAAAAGGCTTATAACAAAATTGAGCCTTCAAATTTTTAGGCCTAAGACATATGCCACATTTTTAAAGAAATTGAGTCACTCCCTACAAAGTTAAGTGATTTTTATGTTATAAACTAAAAAACACATGATTTTATTAGGTATTTTCGGATAGTCGAGTAATCTTTTGAGTAATGAACTCGAGAAATGATATTTGAGACCAATCCCAATCCTATCGCCAAAAAGTCATCAATATAGTGCAGGAGCATTCACATTTTTTACTTATTTTTTCACTTTTATTTTGAAATTTGGCTATCTCCCAGCTACGATTTGGACTTTTCGCCATCAAGAGGAATACTAATGATTATCTATGAAAGAAGGATTTTAAAAATGAAAAAAATAATATTAACTTTCGTTATGTATTGACTAAATCTAGTATAGTCGATCTTGTTTCGATGTGGGAAAAAACTTCTTTAAAAAGCATCTCAGCAAAAACTCCAACAATTTCTTTGTTTTTAAAGCCTCCACGTCTATTTTGTTCCCTATTTATTATTCAACTATTTCCAATTCACAAGTATTAGAACCATGATGCGCAGACAATATTAAATTTTATTAATTATATAAAAAATTTGAAACTACTAGATCTTATTACTTTAATAACAAAATTTCACCTCATGACATCTTGCTTTATATATTCATCTATTGAAACATTTCTACTTATTTGTAATAAATAATAATTTCATCTCTTTTTATTTTATTGTCAGGATGATTTATGGGGAAATTTATTTGGATTGCTTTCATCACATCCATTATCACCATTACTATCACTTCATCATATAGAAGATGTACAATCAATGTTCCCTAACATGACCAAAATTCAAGCTCTACAACATTTTTTCAAAGCTGCTAATGTTGATCCTGCAAGAATATCACAACAAACTATTTGTTACGATCGAAAAAATTCATTATCTATTGCAGTGGCATGGGGTTACGCGATACAAGTATACGAGGGCAACATTAAAGTCCCTGAGCTTATAACAGTTTTAAGGTCGTTTGATTCGTGGGATAAAGATAAGAAAAAACCATATTTTATGTTTAAGACAAAGGTGGAATCTAGGGGACCTTGCAAGAAAATGGTTGCATTTTTGGATAGTGTTGATTCAAATGGAGATAAAGTTTGGAGTAATTATACAAGGCATAGAGTTGTGGGAAAAACTTGCACAAAAGATGGCAATAAAGTAATCAAGAATTTGGAAGAGATTAGAGTCCACTCTAGGAAGTTGGAAACTAATACTAGACAGGTACACATTTATGTTTATATCATTTTTTTATTTTGCTTCTTCCATTTATTTTTAGTAGTCGCAGAATCAAAATTTTCAGTAAAAGAATTTAAAATAGAATGGAACACATCAACAAGCTAAGGGGATTGATCAATATTTACTATATACCTAAAAATTATTGATCTTGTATAAATAGTAAAATCATCCGGCGATAGGTCATTTGTCGTTTATTTTTTTTCCCTGCTGAATCATTTTGATGTTGAAAAACATACAAATAGAAAAAATATTAATGGGTGTGGCCTAGTGGTCAGATAAATGACGTAAGTTGAGCATCATGAGATTTCACGTTCCATTTTCAGCAGAAACAAAAAAAAAGGTTGAATTTCTTCGCATATGTTCTTGCCTTGATGGACCGAGTTATTTGATATCTATGGAAAATAATTCGTCAAGATTACAAATACTTTGCAAATAATATTTGGTTTGATCATTCAATATTTGCAAATTTAAACTTTTTTCTCATGCATATTTGAATTACTTGTGAACTATTGACAAACTTGTTTGATTATTATATATTTTAAAGTAAAGTTTTTATTTTAATATTTTTTGCCTTGGAATGTTTCAGGTTAAGGCGCCACGTCGTCAGTGTTGTGACATATCATTATCGTCCAAGAAATCTATGGATATTCAAATCAGACCATGTGGGATTGATGAGTTAATTACAATGTCTCCCTAAATTTTATAATTTGTTTATAAACTCTTCTTTTTTGTGGAGAAAATATAATGTTTCATTGTTACAAGCATTTGTGACAATTGTAACTTTGACTAACCCCAATGTGATGATTAGTTAGGATACATGATTTCAAATTAACGACTCGAGATCAGTGATTTGAAATCATGTTGATTGAAATTAAAATTATATTTAGATAGTGATTTAAATTTTTTAAGTTACATTTTCATAAACATTAAACTATCGTAATTGGTGAAAATTATCAAAACTCTCTCAACTCTTACCAATCTTATGAAATGAGCAAACTATAGTTCCTAAATAAAAGTATTGAAATATCCTAAGATGTTGCATTAATAAATCATATATCCTCATGTTCCTTTTATAAATAAATGTTTGTGATTACATATTATAACAAACTTTCAAGTATACATAATTTTATAAAGATTCACTAGTAATTAGCTATTATTTGATATAATATTTGTTCCACACGGTATATACAATCTTTTTACGTCAAACATGATTTTTTTTTATAAAATATAAATTTATGGGTTACATTTTTAAAAAGATTAAATCATAATAAAGAATTTAAATCCTAGTGATTTTTGAAATTGAAGTTTTGTGTAAATTTCATCAATAAAAATTCCAATCAAAATTTGAAGTTGAGGTTTCAAATTCTATAGTTAAATACCAACTTATTCTGAACTTCTAGAATCGTTCTACTAGTTGTTTCCTCTTGAAGAATGTCTTTTTATTAAAAGAACATTCGATTAAAATAATTATAATCACTTTTTAAATATATAAAATACACACTAATTATAAATGAAATACGTATAATTTGTGTATTGTCTGGGTCACTATAGCACAAGACTTGCTACATTCGGCCTAAATGTTGTTGTTTGCCCCTATTTATTTTTTCGGTCTCGAAATATTATTCTATTTTTTATTTACATATTTTTTAAAATTATATTACCACGGGATAAGAAGGGTGTTTTACTATTTTACATTAATCTACATTTTCAGAGATAATCTCTCTTTATATTTACTTTATTTATGTGTCATTTAAAAATAAAATGTAAACTTCTTTATAGTTTCAAACTACAATTATTTTTTTTAGACAAATAATTTTTGTGAGGACGACAAATATATAACAAAGCTTTACATGGACAAAATCATTAGTAAGATGATAAATTCACTCCATTTTATATTATTGCATATCGAGTGGCCTTTGTTAGAAGACACATTAACTCAACATGAATTCAAAATTCAATGGGATTTCAATTCAATAAGGACAATAAATCTATGACAAAGCTTTATAAATTCGCTCTTTGTTAGGTTACTACCTATCGAATCGCCTTTGTTAAAAGACACTTTGATTTAATAAGAAATTTTTTAATGTAAATTTAAAATTTAGTAGAGTTTCAATTCAATAAGGACGACAAATATATGACAAAGCTTTACGTGTACAAGACCATTTGCCTATTCAATATGAAACTCTTTATCGTGAATTCAAATTTCAATTGGATTTTAATATGAGTATCGACCACGAAGCTTTCACGTGTCATCATTTTGGTCTACTTTTTCAGATTTCCACAGTTCAAACCCAGAACCAGAAACAGAAACAGAGACAGAACCAAAAATCTGAGATCTGTTCACAATACAGTTCGATTTCCATAGTTACAGTCATCATTATCTTAGTTTTTTCCATGTTCAGTTCATCCAACACAATAGAAATGCCTATGGTTCCAAGATTCATTCATACACAAAATCGCCTCAAAGATCTTCTCTTAATCTTCTCTACACTTGTCATCTTCTACCTCATCTTCCTTCTTCATCACATCCATACCCCCAAAACTTCCTTCAATCCAAATCCCAATTTCTCCCAAACCCCTTCAATTACCACTAATCTTTCAATCTCACACGTCTTCTTCTCAATTGCCGCTTCTTCTTCTTCTTTCTCTAACCGTCTCCCTTACATTAACCTCTGGTACAAACCCAATTCCACAAACGCCGTCGTTTTCCTTGACGACCCGATTTCCATTTCTACCCTCTCTGTTTCTTCTCCCCCAATTCTTGTTTCATCAGATACTTCCAAGTTTCCTTATTCTTTTCCTGCTGGTCGTCGTTCGGCGATTCGGATTGCTCGTATTGTTAAAGATACTTTTGATTTGGTTAAAAATGTGAACTTTAATGATACCCGTTGGTTTGTTTTTGGGGATGATGATACTGTTTTCTTTACGGATAATTTGGTTAGAGTTTTGTCGAAATATGATTGTGAGAAGTGGTATTATGTTGGTTATAATTCGGAGAGTTTTGAGCAAAATGAGAAGTATTCGTTTGATATGGCATTTGGAGGGGGTGGGTTTGCACTAAGTGCTCCATTGGCTAAGGGTTTAGCTAGGGTTTTGGATTCTTGTTTGATTAGGTACCCTCATTTGTATGGCAGTGATTCCAGGATTTTTTCTTGTGTAGCTGAGCTCGGAGTACATTTGACTCGCGAACCTGGATTCCACCAGGTGACTTTTCGTACACTCTACCCTCTCTAGACTCCAGTTGTGGGATTAAACGTGGTATGTTGTAGTTGTTGTGTCTGGGGTTTGGATTTCATTAACAAAACTTGAACTATAAACTAATAGAGCAAGATGGAATTTTGGAGCTGGTTTTCATGAGATGACCTTATTGGATGATCTTAAGATTCATTTAATTTAGTAAAAACATGAGGCAAATGATAAAGCATGTTAGTACTATGTGAAATCTTGTTAAGTTTTCGTATCACAGGGAAATGTTTGAACTTTTGATATCTTTTGGTTGATTTGATTAGCAGCATATGGAAACTATGACCAATCTGTTTAGCATGTTATTAAAGAACATAACTGCTATTTTTTTCTTCAATTGTAGTTCTGCAATTGTGATGATAGTTGAAATAAGGCTCGTTTTGATTCAAATAGTGTTTAATGTTTTTTATGTTTATACTCCCTCCATCCCAAATTATGTGACGGTGTTTGAGTGTGCAGGGAGTTTAAGAAAGAACAACTTTTGAAACTTGTGGTCGCAAATAAGCCATATATATATGTCTGGTTATAAGTTACTATCTCATGAAGGATAAAATGAGAATTTTACAATTAAGTTGTTTCTAAATATAGAGAAGTGTTATTCTTTTTTGGGACAGACTAAAAACGAAATACTATAAATTGGATGAGGGAGTAGTTTTTGGCATGCTACCTTATTGTGAGCTTACGAGTAACCTCACTTAACCTCAAATATTTTCTTTGCTAATGGAAGTTAAATGAACTAGCCTTCTGAGGGTGCTCATGTGAGTATATAAGCTACCTAGGATGTTCTTGATTTTAGTTTTGTGTATTAAGTCGAAATTGCTTTGATTATTAATAGGTTGATGTTCGAGGAAATCTGTTTGGTATCCTTGCTGCACATCCATTATCACCTTTGTTATCACTTCATCACTTGGACGTCGTGGAGCCACTTTTTCCTGGCATGACTAGGATTCAAGCAGTGGACCATCTTTTCCAAGCTGTCCATGCTGATCCAGCCAGGATTTTGGAACAAACTGTGTGCTATGACAAGTCCAGTTTACTGACCGTTTCAGTTGCATGGGGTTATGCCGTTCAGGTGTTTGAAGGGAATCAACTTCTTCCAGATCTTCTCTCGCTGCAGCGAACTTTTACACCATGGAAAAGGGGTAAAAATGTTTCTGCAAGCTATATGCTCAACACTAGAGTCAACCCTAGTAATCCATGCAAAAAACCTGATGTCTTCTTCTTGCAAAAGGTGCTTTCTAGTATAGATGGCATATGGACTGAGTATACAAGACACAATGTTGGGAAGTGTGTTAGAAATAATCCTACAAAAAAGTTGGTAAAGATAAGGGTCTTCTCGCAGAAGTTTGCCTTCGATGTTGAACAGGTACTCTGCATGCCTATGGACCCTGGACTTTGTTTTCCTTGTCTCGCTATTATTACTGTGCCTTTGTTTGTGGCATATTTCTATCTCATGCTTCTTCTGCTGAATGTCTAATTTTCCTGAATCAGTTGAAGGCACCTCGCCGATCATGCTGTGACATTTCATCACCTATCAATGAGACAATGATAGTTGGTATTAGACAATGTGGGCATGATGAGTTGATCTCAATGCAGACTTAAAATGATACTTAAAATTGCTCGACAGACGGCCTGTCAATCCATGGTTTGGACGAGCGGGGGGGTATGCAGTCTCTTGACAGAACTCTCTTCCGATTTCTGAATTTTAAGGTACCCTTTCTTGTTAGAAAGACATCACATGCCTTCTTTTTTCCACCTGTTATTGATTGCTTTGGTTCACAGAAGACTGTTTCTCCCAGTGCTATTTCTAAATCATATAAGGTCCTACTTTCATATGCAATATCATTCGCCAAGTCACAGAAGAATGTTAGCTGGCGTTGAAACTTGAAGTTAATAACTCATATCATCTGGTCTCTCTTGCTACCACGGTAGCACCTAGTGTGGTCAACACCAATCGCGTTAGGGCAACAAAGCTTACACTCATTCACATTGGTTCATCCTGCTATGCCCCGGGCCTTTTGCTCTTCTTAAGTAAAAGGTGGTCGGCCCTTGTCAAAACCCAGGAATCCTAGTCCTATCAAAACCAAGAAATATAGGCCTGCCTGCCACCCATATCCATGTTGTCTTTAAAGAAACATGACATCACTAGTGTGTGATAGATGTTAATGCATCTCGAACTTCTACTTCAGGGAGAAGAAAGACTCTCCAAATCTGTTAAAATAAATTTCTCCTAGAGAAATGATAACTACTGGAGGCACAGAAAGGATACATGGAACTTCGATGTGTTGAGAGAGACGTAAACACATGACACTAGTTCCAACTTGCTATGAAACCTTGGCCATGTTTGATTTCTCTCTGTCAAATTATTAGTTGCAAAATCCATAAATTTTAGAATTTGGGCAACTAATAAACTAATTAGCTTTTGCTGATGCATTACTATTGAGTCTCTAACAAATTAATAACAAAAGAAAAATCATACTTAAAAGGTAAATTTGTATACAAAGTGTACCAAAACTGTAGAAGGAAAATTGCAAAAATTACAGGTATCAATATAGGCTTGGCATGGTAATCTGGTTGTAAGTACAAGGAAGCGACTAGAATAGTTGAATGTGGGTAACATTTATCTTAGTGGTATTTCATGCTTTTCATCCTAAGTATCTCTCAACTCCTTCCTTATAAATTGTCTTCAGTTTAGAAAAGAACTGCATTTTAGCACCCTCGTTACTTAGGCATGTTCAATTACACTAGGCTTCAGAGCATACAACAATTTGTCACTTTAGTCCTCAAAAACCTGTAGCTGACATACTTAGTCAGTATAACATGGACGAAGAAACTGGGAATTGGTACTTAAATGATTTTGTTAGCGTTCTGTTTCTGTAGCATGGCTCAGGTTAAGCCACCTTATTCAATAGCAGCAGGTATATCAATATCCAAGAATCTCTGAGCAAACTGTGATGTAAAGCAAACATGTATGCGCACAACAAGAGGAGAGATTTGAAATTGATACGTGTGGAACAATTATTCATGAATTTTGCTGGCTACTGCTGCTTTATTTAGCAGACTCAGCACATACCATCTTATCTATTAAAGCTTGCCATTTTTTTCTTCTTTTATTAGTATTTTTCGAATTGAATGCCTTTTAAGACTTTTGTCATAAAGTTTGAATTTCCTGTTATTTGAATAGTTGGTATAGTGCATCACTAAAATGTCATGATAGATTCAGCTGTTTGCACCGAAGTGTGAAATGTACAGGCCTTAGTAGTAATCACGATGATTTGAGTCGTATTGCTTGATTCACATGCTGAAATTAGGCAGGAATGGTGTTTGCATTGCTAAAGCAAGATTGTGGATCTCCTTGTCCCTAAATTTCATTTCCTTCCGGCTTTCTCTTTAGAGCATTGTTTTGAGGGTTGAGTTACTTGCTACGAGTTATTCTATTGTTGCTTTTTGTGCCTATTCCCGTGGTTTTGAATTAATAGTGAAGTTCATTTTCTTCTCCTTGGCATTGCAGATTTATGCGATTGTTACTCTACCTCCCGTACTATTAAGGAACTCTTGTAGGAGGGTGTCATGTGTGTTGCATCTCTTCTGGAAAGAGTAGTAATCACTCTTGAGAAACCTTGGTGGCTCGTCGATTCCATGGATCTTGGGACATAAGCAAGTTCTGTGCTTATAATTTCTCTGGGTGTATTCCGCCATACCACGGACTGAAGTTGATATTGTTATGTTTTTATGAACTATGATTAGTTTTTTTTTCTTCTTTTTTTACTGGAGAAAGATGAGCCTAGACAGGCCTCAGGAAAGTTTAATTAAGGTGGCATATATTAATTCACCAGAAATGTAACTTATCCAGATCAAACTGTGGTTTTGAAAACATTTCTTGCTTACATTTGCCAGATACAGTTGCAAATATTGAGAAAATGATAAACAACAAGTGTAACATATTCAAAATTAAATTTATCAAAATAAATAAATGCATATATTCAACTCCATAAGCATACATGTGAGAGTTAGATACATGCAAATTCACTTGGATATAAGAATAAATCATATCTAATTTTAATCTTATGCATTGGACATACATGATTTGAATAGAGTTAGATACATGCAAATTCACTTGGATATAAGAATAAATCATATCTAATTTTAATCTTATGCATTGGACATACGTGATTTGAATGTATCTGGACATGTCAAATATATGTATTCGAAGTTAAATATCTAGTAAGGTTTGTAATGTTGCAAATAAACATGAATCTAAGTAATTAACTCCTAAACAAAGGCCTTGTGCATGTGCAATGCATGTGAGCTATCAAACTACGAAACAAAAATATCTTCTTATATTGTCTCTTGTTTAATTCGATTTTAGAATCCACATCAAAATTCTTTAATCTTATTTTGAAAAAGGAAAAGGCTCAAATATGTCATCGAACTTTGAGAAAAGACTCATTTATGTCATTCATTAAAAATTTGGCTTATCTATATCATTTCAAAACCATTTGAGAAAAGACTCATCCATATCATTCATTATCTGTTACCGAAAAAGCAGTTTCGATTTTACAAAATTATTTCAGTTAACGGACTTAAAATGACATATACTCCTATTCGATAGAGTATGAAAGAAAGTTAAAAATGCCTTCGATTAGGCTAAGTAAGCTGCACATGGAGGAAGACGCCAAGGGCCTCAATTTATTTTGAGATTAAAAGTAGCAATTGTCTTTACTACTTTCCCTTTTAATTCGTTTAAAAAAAAAATGCCTATCATATAACATGTTTAAAATTACAAAATTAAAAATTCAATATATTTATTTTTAGTTGATGATTATGTTCTGCAACCGAACCCTCGTTTTGTGTTTAGTTTAGTAGTACAAATGTCACCATCGTAAATTAACACATGTCATACACCTCTTCATAATTTTCACATTTTCACACACATTGACTTTTACTAATTTCATTTTCTTCAAATATGACAAAACACATTCTGTTTTTTTCACCAATTTTCCTTATTCACGTCAACATTATTGACTCAATTCCACCACATGGAGACCTCTAATTGGACTCAAACATGGCGTTACATATTCAAAAACTCAAAAGTAACCTAACTTTTCCTATTAGTAACTCTTCGTAATTAATAATAAAAACATGTACACATGTAACTGATTTTCTAAAAAGCAAATTAAAAAGATTGTCAAATTTTCTCCATAAAGGGGTTGTAGACTTGTAGTGAATAGAATTTCTCTAAACCCCTTGTTCCCTTTGTCTTCAAAATTCATCCTTAGAAATGCAAAATTTTCATTTTTCTAACAAGACACAATATAATTCCACCAATAAATTCAAGAATCTCATTATAATATCATGTTTTAGTTTCATAATTTATTTTGTTTGTTCCATTTTTCTAGCTCCAAATAAGCATTTTCATACCTCAATTTCATTACAAAATGATGAAAATAATTTATCATCACAAACAAATCTTGATCATGTTGTTTTTGGGATTGCATCAAATGAGTTATCTTGGTCTAAAAGAAAAGAATATGTTAAACTTTGGTGGAAGCCTAAAAAAATGAGGGGTTGTGTGTTTCTTGAAAAAATACCACATTTTTCATCAAATGATACAAATGATGATGAATCTTTTTTGCCTCAAATTTGCATTTCTGAGGATACTTCTGATTTAGATATACACATAAAGGTGGGACCCCATCAGCTATACGTGTGGCACGTGTCGTTTTGGAGACAGTGAGGCTTAATTATACTAATGTTAGATGGTTTGTGTTTGGTGATGATGATACAATTTTCTTCCCAGAAAATTTGGTTATGACACTTTCTAAGTATGATCATGGATTTTGGTATTACATTGGGACAAATTCAGAAAGTTTTATGCAGAACAAGTTTTTTTCTTATGAAATGGCTTTTGGTGGAGCTGGTTTTGCTATAAGTTATCCATTGGCTAAAGTTTTGGCTAAAGTTTTTGATTCTTGTATAGAAAGATACCCTCATTTGTATGGAAGTGATGGGAGAATTCATGCTTGTTTGTCTGAGCTTGGTGTTGGATTAACTCATGAGCCCGGATTTCATCAGGTACATTGAATATATCGGCAAACCCTTAAACTTGTCTGTGAATTTCACTTAGATAGTCGAACTATGATTTGTTCCAATTAGACACTTTTGGATCATATTTTGAAAAGGTTTCTATACCGTGTTCACACACACTCATTACATAGATAAGTTGATCACATTACACATTGACATCAATTGGAACATGCATGAGGTTTTATCAGAGGAGCTGGTATATTTTAAGTGGTTAACTTATCTTTATAACGAGCACTTGAAAACACGAGCAAAAGATTTTTCCAAAATTTGAGTTGGAAGTGTTTAATGGGAACACTTTATTATATATTCAGGTGCTACATCTGAACATGTTGTAGTTCGAGTGCCTAAATAGAATTTACTGACAGATTTAAGGGGATGTCGATGTATTCTGCCATTTTCATTTTTGTGAATTTTGCATTTCTGACTATGTTGTTCTGTTTTTATGAAATTGAAATACCAGATGGATTTTCATAAAAATGTGTTTGGAATGTTAGCTGCACATCCCATTAGGCCATTGGTATCTATGCATCATATGGAGGAAATTGATCCTATATTCCCAAATATGACAACAGTGAAGGCTCTGGAGCATTTGTACAATGCTGCAAGCTTCGATCCACATCGAATTTTGCAGCAAACAGTTTGCTATGATAGTTGGTTTTCTTGGACTGTGTCAGTGTCTTGGGGATATGCTGTTCAAGTGTTTGATAAGCATGTGCTTTTACCAAATGTTCAGCGCGCACAAGAGAGCTACGCTCCCTGGAAAAGCAGCCATTTAGGTGGATTATACGACTTTGATACAAAGAAATATGAACCTGATCCATGCCGAAGGCAGCTTGTTTTTTTCTTGGACAAAGTTTCTTCAGGCAAAAATGGAACTGAGACTATTTACAAGAAGAAAACATTTGAGAAATGCAAATTTGACAGGAGTTCACCTAGAAGAGTCGAAAAAATCAGAGTGTTGTCAAACAAGTTAGTCCTTGATAAACAACAGGTATCTTAAAACTTTTGCTCTCTAAATTCTGTTCTTTGTAAAATTGTTTAGTGTCTAATTTTTGGATCTTTTGGTCTAATGTTATAAGTAGTTGCTTGCTCCAAGAAGGCATTGTTGTGATGTATTACCTTCTACATCGAGCAACGTTATGGAAATAGCAATAAGAGAATGCAAGGAAGATGAACTAATTCACATGCAGCATTAGTACAATATATTCCTGAGACATTCAGCAACCATTTGATGGTCTCCCCGCCAATTGCCTGATCTGATCGTGCTCTATTCTCATGAAATTTTGAATCTGAAAAAGCCATTGCTCCGGAGAAAAAAAGAAGATTTGACAGTAGCAAGATGCCAGCAGTTTGTTCATGGCAGAGTTGTTTGTTTTCTGAGCATTTAAGTTCAATGATAGAAGAGAATTCGATGCCAAACATAATCAGGGGAAGTTTTTTTCTTTGGGAAATCAGTTTTGTATATGTGTTTACTTGGAATTGATGTATATCATAGGAAACTTTGGCACATAAACAAATTAGGAAACATGTAAGAAAACCTTTGTTACTTGTGAGTTAACCAGAAAGAAGTCTCAATTTTGACTGAAACTTGATCAAGATTTCCCTTTTTGTTGTCTTGAGTGATGAGAGTACTAGAGAAAAAAAGGTTACAAGTGGAGTCTGGAAAGGATATACGCAGACCTATTTTTATCTTGTGAAAGTAGAGAGGTTGTTTCTAAAGGACCCTCGGCTCAAGTGTAGCAAATCAAATAAGAACAAAAAGGAAAAATGACAATGAAAAAAACATGAAAACTAATACGGAAAATAGTGCAGAGCATTTAGTAAAGGAACAATAACAATAATGAAATAATGTGATAATCGAAACATAATAAACAACAGTTACAAACAAAAGCAATAAACTACATGAATAAAGCTAATACTACGGCAAATATGGTACTCCAGACTATCACCAATCCTAATCTCATTGAAAAGCAAGACAATACTTCATTATCTACTAACCTTATTTACAGACAAGGTATAGGTGAAATCAACTATAATCATTATTTTAAAAGTGTGAGGAGAGGTGTTTTACTTACTACAGGTGAAGTGTAAGCCTCGTAATACATATCAAGTTTGTTTATAAATTAATAAAATAACATAACAAAAATATCTAGTATGTTTTTACAAGTATAAGCATATAAAATAATCAGCTTCCAAATATGTTTTGATAAATAATTAATGATAATTTAGGTAGAAAATACTAACTATCGATAATTTAAATATGTAACTCAAATAAAAATGATACTTCAAGTATATATTTGATCATTTATCTCCTAGTTATATCATTATCTTTAAATTTGATTGGCTAGCTGACCATTGTGAATTGACTTGGCCCTGTTCAACATCCAGCTATGAAATTTGAGAGAAAAAATGTGTATGTGGGGAGGGGATTCCACATGAATTTATAACTTTTGAGTATCTCCATTAGCTAGTGTTAATTATAATTACTACATGACATACAAACAATAAAAAATTTTTTATCACAATTTACTTATATTTAAACTATTATTTTTTTTGTGACTTATAATACTTATATAGTCTTCAAATTATTTTTCAAAAATCTTAAAAATTATATATTCAAAAAATTTTGACTTTCGAAAGCTGAGTTGTGTCATATAAATTATGACGTAAGAGAATAGCAAGGATAGAGGTGGAACGTGCATCCAGTTACATGACAGGGTCCAAAATTATTGTCTTCATAATTTTTTAAATCATAGTGGTGGCTTATAAGTTGTATATGATTAATTAGAATCACCTTCACTAGGATTTAGGAATAAGTCTTCTCTTTAGGCAATGCTCTCCGTGATTCCTTGTTTCTTTGTCAACAAACAAATTTCAACTATACAAATAGACCATATAAACTTAATTAATACGTAAAACTATTGGTTCCTTAATTTTAATTATTACTAAAGGTCATATAATTTGAAGAAGAGTCACAATTTCTTTATTATAATATCAGTGTAATTTTAACATGTTACTTATAATAGATAACCGATCAATGTTTATTTAAATGAAATTACCTTTTATTGCATAGAAGTTAAATTCGTTGAAGAAAGCCGTTTGATGAATGAATTGTTGTATAGTGCTCCACCATTTTTGCCATGTTCTTGTGTTAATATTTGGACTCTAGAAGGAGTAGCATGCAAGTATAATTAAAATTAAAAACTGACAGGGGACTTTTTTTATGGAACAAGCTGTCAGTGCCTCTTGAAATTAAAATAATGCCTTCTCCTTATTCAACGTGTTTTGTATAGTTGCATTAAATAGCTAAGATCTTGCAAGACCCAAGACATACAGAATTAGCTAATTTGGCAGCAGTAATACAGCCAAATTAGCTAATTCTTTGTTGATTGAAGAAGTTATGGCAATGCTAAGAATGTTGATGAGCTTGGCTGCTATAGCCATGCTGCTTGGTTCAGCCATGGCAACAAATTACACAGTGGGAGGTCCTAATGGTGGATGGGACCAATCTACTGATGTTCAAGCATGGGCTGCATCGAAAACTTTCTTCGTCGGAGATGATCTGAGTAAGCCATCTAAAAGATAGACTATCTTTTTAGAACTTGTTGGCATCCATCCATCTAATGCCTTGTTTTGTGTTTTCTTGACAGTTTTTTCATATGCTCTAAGCCATTCTGTGCTAGAAGTCACAAAGGCTGGTTTTGAGACCTGCCAGATTACAGCTCCTATTGCAATTTATACTGGAGGGATGACAGTAATCACTCTAGCTTCTGTAGGCAAGAGATACTTCATCTGTGGAACTGGTGGACATTGTAATGTAGGAGGAATGAAACTCGAAATCAACACTCTTCCCAAGGCTACCCCACCCCCACCAGCCAAACCGGCTACTCCACCAACACCAACACCAACCCCGAAAGCTCCACCACCATCAACTCCGTCAACTCCACCACCATCAACACCCAAAACTCCACCACCAACTCCCATGACTAAACCCCCAGTTGCTTCCCCTCCCTCTTCATCACCATCTCCCAAGTCTTCATCAGCACCCTCACCCAGAAACATACATAAAATTTCCCCTGCAATGTCACCTTCCAAGTCCTCCCATGCTCACAGCCCAGCCATGCCTCCTACTGGCGTTCCAACATCCCCTTCTGTTGAAGCCCCGGGATTGCCACCTTCTGCTGAGGCCCCTGGTGCTTCTGCACCTGCCACATCTTCCCCATCATCGGCTGATAAAATCAGTGTCGTTGCTGGTTCTACTGTGGGATTTGGCTTTGTTGTTATGATGATGTTCCTTCTGTAAGCCTTCAAACAATATTTTGAAGATGTTGTCATTTTTTCGTTTTATGTTTCATTTAATTCTATTTTGTACCTGATTTTCCTCAGTCTTGGTTGTTTCTTCAACATTCCATCTTATGAATGTGCAAATTATTGACAGAGATATAATGGAAAACATTGAGATTTTCTACCCTAAAGCATGAATACTTTCTTGATTCAGTAAAATAAGTAGAGGCAATAAATGTGGAGTCTTACACAGCCTATGCTGATGTCTAACAAAAGGTTCAAAGAAACTTAACTGTTGAAATTTTCTCAACATATTGCTTGTCACAGTGCAAATAGTCTGAAAATATGTGCTTCACAGAGTTTAGAAGCCCTAGATGTGAATTTCGGAACCACATAAATCGAACAGAGGTTGACCTCTTTCCTAACAAGTATACAAAGCAAACAAAGTATAATCTAGTACAAGAACCAGGGTATCAAGAAAACACGGAATAGTTAATCCTAGTGCAAGGAAAAGAATTCTGGTAGTGAGTGCAGAAAGTAACCAAAATGGCCTCTCAAGCAAAATAAGCCAAGTCTTCAGAGTCAATTTAGATGAGAATATACTACTGACTGCAGAAGCGCTTAGCTAAAACAGTGTATAATGTGCATACAACCAAGTTTAATTATTTCAGAAGGAATCCCATCTAGGGAATCATAATACGTAACTGTTTTTCGGGTGAGTATATACCCGTCATATACATGATTTAGCAAACCATCAAGACTGACTCATACATAAAAGCTAGACATATAAATACAACCAGCAAATTGTCTCAGTTGTTTGTCACCTTTAGCACTCACAGGAGCAACAAAAAAGAACAAAGCTCCAGTAGCAAGTCACCTGGCAAATTCAGTTTAAGCAACTGGAGGACGGAGCACATGATCTTGAGATGTGTCAACAACAGCAGGTTGCATGAATTGCCACATTGCAACACTGGGATAACCAATGAAAGGCATCAATTTGTTGCCTGCAGCGACTTGTCCTTGTGCAGTAAATGAAGCTCCCATGGCAGAAGGATGGGAGAGAAATCCTGGTTTAGAAGCTAAGCTTTTAACCTGCTGCTCCAAATTCTCCTTTTCTTCCTTTAGCCTTTGCTTTTCATCACGGAGCTCATTCTTCTCTGCCTGAAGATACATAAGTTTTTCTTTTAGAAGTGCCTCAACAGAGAGCTAAAGAAAACTAGCACGAATGGAAGTTTAGAGAGTACAACTGACATTCAGTGGCACTATAATTAAAACTACACCTTAAGTTCTTTTATCTTCTCTTGCAGTTCCTCATTTGACTCCTTCAGCTTCTGGGTTTCAGTTCGCAGCTCAATCAGCATCCTTTGAGCATCACTCAGAATTGCAACTTTCTCAGTTTTTGGTGGCCTTCCAGGATCAAGGACAGAACTCAATTCGAGGAACCTATATGATGTCAGATTTGGATGTGAGAATTCATAAGAAAGCCAATATATCACAAGAAAGAGATCTAGAGGGAGAGATCATGCCTCTCATTCAGTCTGTCCCTCCGCAATTTCTCTCGGCATGCCTTAGATCTCGGAGAGCTGCACCATTCACTTTTTAACCTGTACGTACAGTTAAGTAGATATACAAGCAAGAAATGAATGATACCAGTTCAAATGACATTTTTCTTTGATTAGAAAATGCTATCTGAAACAACCAGTTTTAACATAAAAACTTTCTGTCTTTTTCTTTTTCATTTTTTTGTTTATTGGGGATGCAGGGAAGGGCTATAAGCTATTAGCAACTCACTTTAATGGCCAACCTTTTGAAGGATATTTTCATTGGAAAAAGTGACACTGGAAAAGGATATAAACAAGGATGGCTAGCAAGAGTACAGCCATGACCAATAGGAATCCTATGTGAAATTTATGTGATACACAACTCTAAAATTAAGAAAATTATGTTCAGGTCAACACTGTGAAAGTGAATTCATTCATTTCTCATTTTGATGGTGTATGTAGGTATAGAAGAACAAGAATCACATGTACAGTCATTCTAAAGTTGCTAAAAACTATCTGTCTACTTTGAGCCCATAGCGAAAGGAAAATTACTCTGGAAACTTAATAAGCTGTATCCATCTTAGAAGCGCCAACAAAATGAATCAATTGAAAAAAGGTGTAATGGTAGAATCCCAATAGATAGGATGCAGTGTATTGAAGCTAAAATTTTATAACTGACTATTGGAAAGGATGCATATTAATTGAAGATATCTATAAAGTTCCGTCAAATGTTAACATTTCTTTTTAGCAATTAGATAGATTGGACTGTGAAACCTGAAACAGAGATTTCTACATAGACAGTTCAAATTTGAGATGATAGTCCTTCAAATGGAAATTATCAATTATAATAGCAAAACCCTTATACAGCCTTGAAACAAGAAAACACCAATCCACACCAGATTGGTACTCTAAATGGATTCTCCACAAAATAGGAAACTGAATGTAAAATTTTTCAATAAGTCACAGTATCTGAAATTCATGCCTGAGCTCAATAGAGATGATTAGCAAGAGAACTGGGGTGAAAGATACTGCATAGAAACCCTATTTTGTAATAATTATACTGAGATCATTAATAAATTATCCTACTCTCAGCAACAAGAAGCAACAATAGTTTCTTCGTAAAAAAGGAAAAAAGAAGAAGTATAAAGAAACTAGCCAGCTGTGTTGTCTAATGTTTGTTATATCAGGATATCATTGTGCTGAAAAAGTTACTAGACTACAACCAAGAACCTCACAAGGAAAATAGGTTTCTTGAGTAATCAATAAACTTCTCTCAGTGAAAGACAAACATAAAACTTAAAGGAGTGATTGGGAGGAAGAGCCTTTAACTCTACCTGTATGAGCTTTTGCTCATATGGCCGGTCTCGAGCCCATATAAAGGAGGAGGGTTGTGGTGTGCAGTGTTATCAAAAGCAAAAAGCACAAAAAATCTCTAAGATCAGTTGGGGTTTTTAAGCACAAAGCGCAAATAAAAACGTGGACTTCAATTATTCTAGAACCAAGAGTTGAAGACAAGGTTACTTCATCAAAAAAAAAAAAAGAGTTGAAGACAAGGTTGTAGAGGGAAAGCATGGTGAGGATAGGGTTATCTCATTAAGTCTTGCATACGAAAATGAAACAATGATATCATTACTGACTAGAACCAAGAGTTAAAGACAAGGTTGTAGAGGGAATGAAGTGTGGACTTCAATTATTCTAGAACCAAGAGTTAAAGACAAGGTTGTAGAGGGGAAGCGTGGTGAGGATAGGGTAATCTCATTAAGTCTTGCATACGAAAATGGAACAATGATATCATTACTGCCTATCCTCCCTAAATAGGACTAGATGTGGAAACAAAAACTAAATATTTGGAAGATACGGGCACCTTGGTTCAAGGTATTCCAGGCGACCAACAGTTTTTTATTTGTGGAGATCCAAATGGTCATTTAGGTAAAGATAACGACATTTTGACCCAATACATGGGGGATATGGTTATGACTTATGATATTAGGAATAATGAAGGAACGCTATTCTAGACTTCGTTTTAGCCTATGACATAGTTGTAGCTAACACATATTTAGAAAGAAAAATTCTTAAATGAGTACATTTAAGAGTGGACAACCATAGTCAAATAGACTTTCTCCTTACTAGAACATAGGATATATAAACAGATCCAGATCTCTAAAACAAGAAGAATGTAATAAAAAGAGTTCACCAAACCTAACAAACCATGATATAAAAGAAATGGATGATTTATTTACCTCTTTCGTGAGCTTGCCTCCTTACTGACTTCTGAATCCGCAAATGTGTAATCTGTTTCAGCACTGAAAGAGATAGGTGACCATCAGAATATGGAGATGGTAAAAGCAAAACAACAGCTTCAGTAAAATGCTGATGTCCCACCACTTAGTGTCATCCTCTCAAGACATTAAACATGTACGTGCCCATAAGATTAGACAATCTATCGTAGTTGTTACTTACAATTTCCTTGGTGGAAAAGCTGATGGTTATAAATCATACTAAACATAATTTCAGTCTTTCTATAACTTAAAGTAATGTAATCTAGAGAGGAATCTATAACCTCAACACAAACTGATAGCCGATAGACAGTTTCCTCATACTCGAAACTAACAACTTTTCAAACTACAGGCTGGCAGAAGTGACACGTCCTTGTTGAAGCTACCCCTACCCCATACCACAACCTTCCTCCTTTATCTCGATTGCAAGGGTAGACCGATGCACTAAGCTCCCGCTATGCACAGGATCTGGGGAAGGGCTAGATCACAACACAAGAGTCTATTATACACGGCCTTACCCTGCATTTCTACAAGAGGCTAGCTGTTTCCACAACTCAAACTAACTTTACCAGTTATCTCAATTGGAACAGATTATAATATGCAAAGCTCACATGCTTGAAGTTATAAAGGAAGTTGTAATACCAATTCAGAGCAAACTCATAAAATTCACTTTATGAGTCCTTAGATCCAAAAAAAAAAAAAAGCGGAAGAGCAGACCCACATGAGATTAGAGGAAGCATAGATTGTTTGAGCAGGCCAGCTGAAATCAATAGTAGCCGGAGACTGAAAATCAGCGACGGTAACAGATGCAGCAGAAGTAATATCCGTCATCAACTCATAATCAAATAACCAATTAGGATTCCCACTAGAATCAACCTCCATGACCTAATTCCCTTTTTCAATTTCTCCCTTCCCTTTTGCTCTGCACACTACAAAACCACAAGTATAAACAATCATCTACTACAGTAGCAAATAGCGCAATACAATAGTAGCAGTTGAAATAGCAACATCATATATATATAAAAAACAAAGTTTATTTTTGTGGATATGGATGGAGGAGAATTGACGGCAGCATCAATGGAAGAATTAACAAAGTTGGATTTCGTCATTACTGTATTTTCTAACTCAAAAAGTAAACGCTGTTTTGGATGGACAAGGAAGAGCAGCATGATTTGTGCTGCTTTTCACTGAACAAGTAGCTA